TTTTACGGGTTTTTAAAGGGTAATTTATCAAAGTAGTTTAGCTCTTTCTCTAACCATTTAGGCGCCACAGGGAGTTTTTCACGAAAATAAGCGAAAAAATGTTCAACCCTGCATGCTGTGTCGAAGTGGCGGGAAGTTGACGGGCCGAAGGCCCGTATCTATGTGTACATTTTGGCGCTTCCCGACTCGGGTGTCAGCGCCGCAGGCCTAGGTAGATGTATGCCACGTCGCAGCGCAACAGTGTTTCGTGAGATATCGCGAAGCCTGTTACGCGAGACGTGGTCTGGCGTACATATAGCTAGTTTATAGGGAAGGGAATGAAAATCTTACCTCCGGCACACTAGAACCACCAGGCTGGCGTACATCTACCTAGTATTGAAAACTTATGCAGGAAGCAAGAGGGTATAGGGTATTCCGCTGCGAGCGAACCGGAACCTAAAGAAGAAAAGCATGACTGCTCGATCTTCTTCCCTCTGCGCGTTCATTGGCTGACCGGCATATTAAGGTCATCGTCGACCAATCAGCGTTCAGGAGGAAACAGATCAGGCAGTCATGCTTTTCTTCTTTAGGTTCCGCTTCGCTTGCAGAGGAATACCCTATTTCAGGCTATCCAAAACGGATGTAGAAAAAGAACAAACTCACTGACTTTTCTGTTTTCGGGATGGCTCTGATTGGTTGAGCTGATCACGTGTCACGACGGCGTTTCAGGTATGAAAAACTGCCAGGTCAGTTTCGAGCTTGCCTTCATATTTGAGAGGTTAAAATCGGACCAAACTACCATGGCAATTTCTCATACTGAGCAGACGGAAAAAGATTAATCGGTGAGTTTGTTCTTTTTCCCTTCCGTTCTAGATGGCCTGGAACACCCTTTTCTAAAACCACACAGTTGGCGTCAACCACATCCTCCTTGTGGCTCAAAGGTCCTTAGATTTGTATTGGCTGAGCGGTTAGCGAAGCCCATTACTCCACTGACCGGAGAAGTTTCATTGTTTGTTTGTCTGTCCGTCTGTACGCACGATAGCTCGAGAAAGAATAGACCATTCCACCGAATGGGGAGGAAGAAAGCAAAGAATCAAAAAGTACCGGAAACAGTACCGAAAACCAGTATCTAGATCATTTGTGTACACCTCTATGGCAAACCAACAAGTCAAGAATAATTATCTTGGCCAAGAAACTAGAAAAAGTGAACGATTTGATCTGTTTATCAATACTGTTTCCGGTGGTTTTTGATTCTTTTCTTTCTTCTTCCACAGTCGGTGGAATGGTCTATTAAGATATCGATCAGGGAATCTGCGAATTTCAGGGTCGTTTTGTATCATAGAAAGGCAGATCGAGTTCGAAGATGGACATTGTAGATCAAAAATCGACTTTTAAACTAAAAGCAGGCCTAGCTTTAAGTGTGCCAGGCGCGTCGCAGCGTAACAGTGTTTCGTGAGATATCGCGAAGCCTGTTACGCGAGACGTGGTCTGGCGTATAAATAGCTAGTTTATGGGGAAGGGAATGAAAATCTTACCTCCGGCACACTAGAACCACCAGGCTCTCCATCAGCCGCAAATTCCCTATTGCGTGATGGAAGTGGATCGGCCTCTGGAGTCTCTCCAACAGTGCCAATTTCCTCACACCATGAAAGAGGCGGATTGTGCAGCCCACGTAGGCAAGAAAAAATCCCTCCCTCCTCTTCACCTCCAGTGTGTGATATTATTGCCCTTTTGTCGAAGGAGAATTCTCCGGCTGCTCCAACAGCAAGTAACGAACTGTTTGCATACAGCCCAAATGGAGTTTCCTCTATTTAACAACTTGTCATCCAAATGATTTAAGGGCAAAAGTGGCTGTTCTTTCAGTTACTACACAAGTTTAATGCTTTGAGGAAACATAACTAACAGGCAGTAGCTAACTTAACGTTTATTATTTTTCCCTTTATTTTCATTTCTTTCCTTTTCAGTTTAGCAGCTTTGATAATGAGAGTGTTGAGCATGTAACTGGCGAACAGCCAGGTGGAACTCCTTCCGATAGTACTTCAACTGATGATAGGCAGTCCGTAAGAGTTTGTCTTTTTAGAGATGACAGCTTTTCCACAGGCGATGGTGCTGCTTTGGATTTTAGTTCATCATCTTCAGTAAGAAGTGCTTCAGGATTTGGATACATTTGTAAAATTACAACACCGGCATCCTTTGAGGAAACACAGGTGACAGCTATCTGAATAATTATTATTTTCTTCCGTTCCGTTTTCATTTACAGTCAATCGGGAATAGAAAAGAGAGTGAACAGCGTAGCACACTCCATGATATGGCCCCCAGAACTGTCCACTCAAATGAGGTATTTTACGAATAAGAAGAACAGAAGGAATCCCGGCTTTTGGACCACAACAAGTCGCAGGTCACTGGCGCATAACACTCTTAGTTTCTTACGAAGACATGCTCTTCATAACATACGAATAGTTCTATTTGTTTGTAAGTACGAACAAGGTTCTTCATATTACGAAGAGCTCCGTTTGTAATACGAATAACATCTAGAGGTCCCTTAAAGGGTCTCTTCCTTACGAACAAAGTTATTCGTAATACAGTTTGTAATGGCATCAGTAATTACGAATCAACCAACATACATTTGTAACTACGAAGGCAAATAAACTATTCTTCGTCCATACCAATTACAGATCACTTTAACTTCTTTTAATTGTTAGCGATATTTCCACGAGACCATGAAATATTAATAGACCAAATATTAACTTGTCTAACAGTGATTTTTCAATGGACGAGGTCCTATTGATCAGTGGGAGACATCAAACGCTTAGTTTTACTCACCAGTATTTCAGTAATATCCACTGAAGGGGTTTTCCTTCACTCTAGCATACCAGACCAGACCCACTGTGCATGTGCACACCACTTGATTGCCTAGCCCAGACAAGGCTATGGGGACTTCTTGCAACTTGACTTGATATTTATGCACTAGACATTACCACTATGTTTTCTCACTATCGTTTATAAGACAGGAGATAACGGCCGTCAAAATTAGGGCTGGGCGGTTTTCCGGTTAACCGGTTTTCCGGTTCGGTTTTTTTCCGAACCGGCATGCCGGTTCAGAGATCGGCAAAAAACCGGTGCACCGAAAACCGGAAGAGAACCGGTTAACCGAAAACCGTTCGCGAACCGGTTAACCGCCGAACCGGTTCTGTATCAGAACCGCGGTTTTCAAGCAGTCGTCGACTGAAGCCAAGCGCGAGCAGAGCGAACGAGTGCAGCAAGTGCAAGTTGCCAGTGGCCAGTGCCGTCGTCGTCGTGCCTCTCCTCTCGCCGAGCCCAACGACGGCGACTATCGCAGCGCAGCGAGTGCAGCGCCCGCAGCGCCGTCCGTGCCGACTTGCCTGAGCTTGAGCAACTCGTCGCGCCGCACCTCGTTCCTCGTTCGTCTCGTCGTCACATCGCTTTCATCGCAGTGTTGCGTTTGTTTTGATTTTTCGGCGTGCGACAGTTGATTCAGTTGTGAATTCTACTCCTGTTCTCTTATCGACATCTTTGGCAGGTGAGTGTTTTGTGGTGTACGGGTAGTTTCTGTGATTTATCTAAGCTGCGAAGCGTCGACGCGCGACTGTTAGGTTATGGTTCGACCCGGGCCGGGACCGGCACCCGGCACCGGCACACTTTAGTTTTGCTGGCCGAATGCCGGATACCTAGTCCGTGTTCTGTCACCTACCTACACAGTTGTTGTTCGTATCGGACTAGAGCCAAAGCCAGAACAGAAGAACTGCACGCGACTGGGCGAACTTTTCGTTGGAAGGTTATTTTGTATTTTTGGTACACGGTGCTAACTTTTAACTGTTTGCGTTTCAGTGACACCGATATGAGTCGGAAGGAAGGAGAGGAGAAGGGATTGCGCTCTAAGTGGTGGAAGTATTTCACCAAAGGAAAGGGCGACCTAGCCATCTGCACGCTGTGCAAGGCTGAAGTTGCGAAGGGAGGAGGGACGACTAACCTCAAAAACCACATCAAGCGCCACCATTTTTCGGAGTACTTCGTGCTCAACAACATGCGCAGTACAGACGCGGATCGTTCTGCGGACGACGAGGACCAAGCCTTTGACGGCGATGAAGTGGCAAGGATCACGATGGCGTCCCCAGGGGCAGCGTCAACGTCGTCCTCCCCATCTCCAACTCCAACACCTCCGCCGCTGTCGCCGTCGCCGGTTCCGGTCAGCATTCGCTCACCATCACCATCTCCAATGTAAGTAAATGCTTAATTTTATTTTAATTTTGTTTCTGCGTGTGTGGCGCGTTTGCATTTGCAGTGGTGGATCTAGGCTGCGCCCCCCTCCCCCTCTTTCTGTACCGCCCTCCTGGCCCTGGCGCCCGCGCCCCCGCCCGCCCCGCCCACCCCTACCGTTAGTTAATCCTGGGCCTGTTTCAATGTTTTTTTTGTTTTCTCTTTTCTACAGGAAATCTAAGAAATCAACAGGCCTTGGCCGCCAGACCTCCATCACCGATTTTAAGATTCCAGACAGCAAGTCGACCGACAGATTGCACATGCATGTGGCTTATTTTGTAGCCACCTCCAATTTGCCTCTTAGTTTGGTGGAGAAGGAGGGATTCATCCGCTTGTGCCACACCCTACGGCCCGGATACAAGCCACCAGGCAGAAAGGCATTGACTAACAATTACATCCCGAAACTGTACTTGAGCACGAAGGAAAACATTGAAAGTATGTTGGCGGAGGCGAACTGGGTTGCCCTATCCTCTGACACTTGGACATCAGTGGCCGACGATTCATATGTTGGTCTTAGTGCCCATATGATTGACAACAAGTGGCAGCTTTTCGCCTTCACTCTCAACTGCAGGTAAACATTTTTTTCTTTTAAAATGTCTACATAGTTCTAAACATGAAACTGATTTTTATTTCTTAAATTGCAGAGCTTTTAATGAAGACCATACTGGTATCAAACTCAAGGAGTGGTTTAATGAAACCCTTAGGGACTGGCACATTGATTTGAACAAAGTGGTCAGTGTTTCGATCGACAATGGGGACAACATACGACTGGCTGTGGACCTTCTGGGCAAGCCGAGCATGCGCTGTTTTGGGCACACACTACAAACAGGCATAACTGATATCGCCGATCTTGACAGTGTGTCCAAGCTTAAGACGGCTTCTCACAAAATGCTCAATTTCTTTAGCAGTACAAAGGTTTGGAACAGGTAAGTGGGTCCGGCCCGGCCCGAGGCCGCGGGGCGGGGGCGGGGGAGGCGGCGGCCACGGCACGCCTTTGCGTTTCCCCCTCACCATAATCGGCAAACGCGTTCTTTTCGCCTTAATTCTCATATTGTTGTTTATTATTTGCAGGTATGAAGCGTTTGTCCAGAAAACATACGACGTGTCTCCCAAAGCGTTGCCTCACCCTGTGAAGACTCGCTGGTGGAGTGAGCTACCACTTCTTCGGGTCCTTAGAGATGAAGAACCGTTCCACCGCGCGTTTTTAGCTGACTATGACTCAGGGAGGCACCTTGGCGTACGATTGAGCGAGGAGAACATGCGGACTCTTAATCTGTATCTCTCTACTTTGGAGCCTATCGAGGAGCTCTCCACCGTGCTGTCAGCTGACCAGTACGTCACTGCCAGTGCAGTTTTGCCAGTGATGTATGGCCTGGAGAAAATGGCGGAGCGGCTTCAGAACTCTGGCGCCTCTTTTGACAATCTGGATGAGGTCAGTCATTTCTATTCATTTAAAAGAAAATCCACAAATAAACAAAAATTACATAAAAATTAAATTTTGATTTAATTTTGATTTTTGTTTAGAATCAAGATGCGGCGGCGGCGGACATGCTCAAGCTCATCCTCAGGAAGGTCCACAAGCGCTACAGCCCGAGCGGGGCCGAGAAGGACGCGGCGGAAACTGGCGGCGAGGCGCGCGGGCCTGTGCGCAACTGCGACGTGAAAGGCAGAGAGACGCTCTACAAGCTTCTAGTTAAATGCTCATATCTAGATGCTAGGTTTCGGGACGATTTAACTGCTGAGGACCGCAAGTGCGCTGCCGAGCAGCTCATGGAAGAGATTGAAGAATCCGTCGCCGTCAGCAAACAAAAAGGTATTCTCTCTTTTTGAATGTGCAAACGATTCGCATATAAGTCTTGCCCGAATGTTTCCTAACACTCAGTAATTTTGATTAGGAAAGAGGAGCACCACCACCTCAACCCCTGAGTCCGAGTCCCCGCCGCCAAAAAAATCAAGGGGCATTGCCTCAATTTTTAATAAACTTGCTGGCGGTTCCGGAGACAGTGAAGTGAGTGAGGAAGAATCACTGGAGGTGCGGCTCGCCAAAGAAATGAGCAAGTACGATCTGGTATCGGTGGCCAAAGATGAAGACATTCTTGCTTGGTGGCGCCTGCATGAAAGTAGTTTTCCCCTGCTTGGAGGTTTGGCCAAAAAATATCTAGCCATCCCGGCCACATCAACCGAATCTGAGAGAATTTTTAGCTTCGCAGGTATTGTCATAAGCAAGCTGCGAAGTTGCCTAGCTGGCAGTAACGCCGAAAAATTGATCTTCTTGGGGATGAACAAAAGATTTGTACCAATGTAACTTTCAATTCAACTGTATATGTTATGTATAATTGCAAAAATTTAAATTAAAGAATTGTTTCTGCTCAGCATCAAATATGTTAGTTTTACTTTAATCTCTAATTATACTTTGCTTTATTAAAATAAGCGACGAATATATGAGAAAAAGCCCTAGAACAGACGGTTGTTTAAAAACCGGTTTTTAAAACCGGTTTTTAATGTGTAAAAACCGGTTCTGGGGGAAAACCGGTTCGGGTGAAAAAAACCGGTTCAGGAAAAACCGGTTTTTTTCGCCAATCAGTTAACCGGTTCGGAAAAAGGTTTTTTTCTGAACCGGAAACCGGTTCACAAATTCCTGAACCGCCCAGCCCTAGTCAAAATGAGTCCACTGTTCGTTCACTGTCATCATCGGACACACTTCAAAATAGCACTAAAACCGAATTATCTTGTCCATCTGCATCTTCGTGTAGTGGCCATGTTTCTGATTCAACAACACTGACCTGCCTTTAACCCTTTAACCGCAGTAGGGGCAGTCACCAGTTTTCGACTGTCGACTGTCGTTAGCTTCACCCCCCCCCCCCTCTCTCAAACCTTCGGTATTCTCCTCGTCGTTTGCTGTCGTCTGCTGTCGAGCACTAGTGCAGCCCACAGCCCTCAAAGTGAGGTTAGGTGTTTAGAGGGAACAAATAGAGAGGACAGGCCATCGCTCGTGAGGTGCGGCCGGGTAGCCGTCGCGTCGGGCGCCGGCCCATCCCAGGCATGCCGGAGTACACCCTCGCGATGGACAGGGTCGGTAAGACGGTACGTCCCCGACGAAGCAGCGCTCTCGCCGACCAGCTGATCTCTGGTCAGGCGAGGGGAGGGGAGGAGGAAGGAACTCCAGAAAGGCAGAAGGCAGAAGGCAGGCTTGCACGCAGCCAGCCCACGTCTCGACGATCTGGACCTGCTGCGAGTGCTCGCATGGTCGCTGCGGCTCGTGCACCTCCTCGTCAGGGACGTACCGTCCTACCATCCAGGGTCCAAGCGAGGGTGTCCTCCGTCATGCCCGGGCCCACCCCAGCTTTCCATCTCGAACGTCGATGGGGTCCATCT